CGGTGGGGAAGCGACAGGGCCTGTCCCACTGATGGTGGATTTCGCTCACGGTTCCTCTCGTGCGCCTTGTGTGCATTTTCTGGAGCAATTTCCCCGCGGCTGTAGGCATGGGGTTTTCCATATCCCTCTCACGTGGGCACGACACGAGCACTGGCTGTCTCTTGCTATGGTGACTAAAGCCTGTGTCAAGAACGTGTCTTTTCTCTCCAGAGGCTGTTTTCATTACAGAACCAGGACAGTCTCGTCACCAGCACCTCTTCAGCTTCAGCTGTCCACTTCGAGCATATCTATGCAAGAGTATAAGATCTGAGTAAAACCTATTATTCTTTTAATTGATATTTCTTTATAACGACCACAATGGCCAAAGCGCCTCCCTCCCTCCCTCCCTGCCCTCTCCCCACGGCTCCCGGCGCAGCCGCGGCGCTGGCGCGGAGCAGCAGCGCCGCCCGGTGCCCGCCGAGCCCGCGGCCCCCGCCCTGCCGCGGGGCTGTGTCCGGGATTCCGCTGGGGCTGAGCTAAATATCTCTGGCCTTTTTGTTGTTCTTGTTGAAACCCCCAGGTTCACCTCTCATCCAGCACCAGTGGGGTTGAAGTGTGTGAAGCGTTTTTGTTGCTGCTGCCGTGCAAAACTGCTTCATCGCCTGACTCGTCAGCCCAGCAGATAAACCCAGTGCTCGTTTTTGGTAAAATTCTTCCTGCCTTATTTTCTCATTCCACGGATGCATTAGTTCATTTCAGCCATGAATCTTTTAAGTCTTGTACACAATTGTGTGAGAAAAGTCCCAACAACCCAGAAATAAACAGAAGCACATTTGTTCTTTCAAAAACCTTGAACCACACCATTTTGGTCTGAAATAAAAGTGTGAACAGTGTCAGAGACACTGCTTCTTGCACCAGCCAGAGGTAAGAGGAAGACTAGACAGCACCAGTAAAATTTAACAGACGAATACTAAGTTATTCTTACATATTTACTATGAGTACATAGGAATATATTCCATTTCACAGATGGAAATATTGGCATAACATTGCTTCCTTTATGTCATATGGAGACTGAATGACAGATCTGAGGTTTCAGTTCAGGCATTACCAGATAACACGTGTGGTGTATATGTGGTACCCACCTCAAGTTTATGAAAAGTGGGTTTTTCCTATTGAGTAGACAGTCATTATGAAGAAATAACAATAAAAAAATAATGTTTTACTCAAATCTTATACTCTTGCAGAGATATGCTCAAACCTCAAAGTGGATAGCTGAAGTTGTTGAGGTGCTGATGACAAAACTATCCCAATCTGTAATCACAACGGCCTCTAAAGAGAAAAGACATGCTTTTGCCACGCACTTTGGTGCTGAATTACTTACATTTTGATAGACACATTCTTTGCACAGGCAAAAGAGGGGAGTATGGCAATAAAGCTACCTAATCTTTCTCTTTGAATATCCAGGGATGGGACTGTAGCATCAGCAGGAGTAGGCAGAACTGCAGACAAGACAGAACCACCAATATAATTTTCATCTTTTCCTCTGAGAGGTGACTGGAATCTCCTCTGATGTTGAACAGGTAGGAGATGTCCTCTGTGGATGCTTTCCCTAGGTAATCCCAGTACCCTATGGTATATTTTTACCCTCACTCTCTGCCCACCTCAGGTGTGGAGAACGTCTTACTACTTTCCCTTTTATCTGCTTCTTTGCAGAAGCCTTTTATCTGTTAGAAGACAGCATATCCCCCTCCACTTTCCCTTTTCTACTGTTCTTATCCTAAATCTTGGCAGGATGCTCCAGTCTGTTTCCCCTAAGCTCTCCTTAGTGAAAATTTTTCTTTCTGTTGCCACTTGCGAAGCCCCCTCCATGTTCTGTACTTCTACCTCTGATTTTAGACAGAGAAAGTTCCTCAGTACTCTTAACTTCCACCCCCTAAAATGGTATTTGCAGGTGTTACACTTTTCCAAGAGAGGATTTCTTAGCTCCTGTTCCCACACAGGAGTTCACAGTCCACAGATGCTGCTTGGGCATGATGGGGACCCTAACCACTCCATCAGCACAGTGGAGGAAGCTGCTGAGGGAGCATCACAGTGGTTTGTGAAAGCTAAACAGCTCCCTGGGCCTCCCTGTCTCTCCTCCTTCCTGCAGACCTGCCTTTGGCTCCTATACAACCAAGTTGTATCAGGTTGTCTCCTCCAGGTTTCTAGACTCAGGACTGAGTGCAGGGCTGTGTTTTTAGCACTGACCTGGCCAATCACAGCCCAGACCTGTAACTTCTGGGCTGTTACCTGTGTGTAGACCCTTCTGCTAAATCCTAAGTTTACATATGCCCACATAGGAATGAATGGCAGTCTTTTCAGGCCTTGCAACTTGATAAAATTAGGCCTGTGCAGATAATTTTCCCCTCGCATCTACCTTTTTTCCTCTAGCAGAGTAAAGCCTTTTTTAAACACTACTCCAAAATATTTCTGAGCATGTTGGCAAAAGCTGATAGAGTTATTTAACATGGGCAATACAACATATTTTTTCCTTGACCTCACATTTGGAAGCTGAGCCTTTTGGCTTTAATTAATATAAAATATGTCTGAGGCAGATATTTGTCATGGGAGAGCTTAGTTTTCAAAATACAAAGATCAACAAAGTTATGAGCCACAAAAAAAAAATCTTACAAAGTAATGGAAAACAGGAAATTCTTGTAAAAAGCAATTCTGTCACCCTTTTTCTGTCATATATATATATAATCAAATACAGTTCCACACTGTGCAATTAATGATGCTATCAAATACCTGTATTTATTATCAAACTACTGCTAAAAATACAATTTTATAACAAACAGACTACTGTATACAAATAATAAGATCTTTACTTCTGTAAACTAAGATAGGCATAGAATGCAGTGTCTGGCATATAATACACTGTACCAGATCCCAAGTGTTATTAGTAAATGTACATGTGCTGGGAGCAAAACAGTCTTGACTTGGGGAGTTTGACTTAATTTGTTGCCAATTAACATAAAACTTAAATTACTGATTGGGGTATTGAAAAGCAAAGCAGACAAACACCTAAGCAGACACAGGGAAACGCCTTTCTTCCTCTTTCAACTTCAGTCCAACACCTCTCCTTCCACCTTCCTAACCAAGGTGACAGACCTGCAGCAAAGGAGGTTGGTCTTTGCTGTGTAGTAGTTTACCTATCTCTTTTGAAAAAGGCTTTACTCTGCTAGAAGAAAAAAGGTAGATGCAAGGGGAAAATTGTCGGCACAGGCCTAATTTTATCAATATTTTCTTCTGCTCCTTCCTTCTTGTTTCCTCAGCCCCAGTGGGTGTGACCTGTGGGCTGCAGTCCCTCAAGAGTGTCCCTGTCCCAGCATGGTTCACCCATGGACTGCAGTCCCTTAGGGATGTCCCTACCCTGGTGTGGGTTGCCCATGGCTACAGTCCCTCAGGGGTTTCCAGCCTTGATAAGGGTCACCCCTTTCCAGCCCAGGATGGTTCATGGCCTCCCCACCATGGAGCACCCCTCAGCAGCCCACCACTGCACCCTGTAGGTGTGGCCAACATGCCACCCTATACAGCTCAGCTGGGTTTGAGCACATAAAAATACTTGCAGTTTTTAGGAGGTATGTTTGACTGAGATGAAGACTGAGGTTTTCAATTGCCATGAAGCCATGGCAAATTATTTGCTGTAAATATTTAAAAGGGTAAATATTTTACTCCTTGATAGACTGTACAGCAGTATCCTGAGGTCTAACTAGAACAAATAAAAAATTTTCATGAAAATCGATCCTATATTATCCTATCTGAACTAAAAGTGTACAGTTAAAAACAAAGAGGATATGGATTAAAATGAAATGTACATTCTTGTCAAGTGAAATACATTTTGGCTAGAGTTGAAAAGCAGTCTGGATTACATAATAAAACTTTTTGTCTGTATTTACAACTAAAAAAAGAGCTGCGTTAGAGCAGACTAGTCCACAAATTTGTCAATTTGTTCTTATGTGTCTGTTGAGATGTCACTTACTTTCACCTGCCTCTCAAAGAGCAAAGATGACTTGTGGGGTGAACAAAGTGAAGTCCTGCAGATCTCTTTCGGGCAGTTAATTGCAATGAACTCCTCTGGTTTTCATGAATCATATGCCCAGACAGTAGTAACTTCTTGTTTCTGGTGCTTCACACCAATATATTTTCCCTTTTTTTTGGAAAATATATTGTGTCTAAGCATAGCAGGTGGTTTTATACATGAGTAAGGCAATACAATCAATGACCACTTTAAGCATTTAAATTGCCTGGTTTTTTGCAAGGATCAAAGTTGCTATGAAATCTGTGACTGGAAGAAACTGGTGCCAATTGGTGTGTGCTTTTACAGCACAGCAGAAAGCAGCAGTATCTTTAATAATCACATATTTAGAAATGCCCTGAGAAGGTAGAAGACAAGTGCTTCAGTCCTCCCACAAGATGTACAGCTTGGTTTTTCACACAGGCCCATGTACAAATGCATTACATTACTCAAGCATGCACAATAACAACAGAAAAAACCCTGCTGCTTTGCAATTGAATGGCCTTTTACATTACTCTTGTGCCAAGATGACACCAGATACAATGGAGCATCAGTGAATGATACATGATACATGGTTTCTTGCATACATGCTGTGTTCTTACATTACTTATACAACAGTATGAAAATCATGGCGAGATATCTGTCATTGCAAGCAATGGCAAAAAAGTTAGCCAGGTAGTAGGGTTCTTAAAAGTTTTGTCATTTAAAGTTAACAACATTTTCAAAATAATCTTTTTTTATAATTCTCTCTCTCTTTTTTTTTTTTTTTTTTTTTTTTTTTTTAATGACAGTAGAGATAACTCTGCATGGGTTTGAAAGACTAACACAGTGAGGAAGGAAATACAATGGACAGCCTGAAGTTGTAATTTGCAATTATTGACCAAAAAAACCCAAACAAAGCAAAAACTAGTTAAATGATAATTTTGCCTGTAAAAGCCTTGCAGCTGAGAAACTGCAATACCTATTATTTTAATGACAGATTTTGTGTGTTGTATGCCAGGAGACCAGCAATGGAAAACCCAAGGTAAAAAGACACTCTTTCTATATATGGGCCATTTTTCAATAGGTGTGAGGGAAAAGGCTGCACTGGTATCCTGAAGTTTTCATTTCTGCCATAGCCTATGTAGATAACATTACCCTCAGCTCTTCCATCCAAAGGAAGCAAAAGATCTTGAACAGGTGTTTCCTCCAGATATTCCCACTCTGCCAAAGGGAATTCAGTTCATGTTCTGGAAGTGAACTAAGAAGCTGATCTACTTTTCCTTTATGAACAAATCTGTCCAGACCACTTCTGACAGATAGAAAAGAGCCAGAGGCTGCCTGGAATGATGCAGAGTTCCATAGAGCTCTTTGAAAGACTCATTTAAGCATTTAACAAAAGTTTCCATTTTCCTTGAATCTTCACTTAGTTGTTTTATATTTTGGGGCCAGAACAACATAGAGGCTAGGAAGAAAGGGTCTACACACTAGGAAGTTTGGTCCACTTTCTGTAGAATGCTTAGAAGCATTCTCTTCATCTCTTTAGGATGATGTAATTTAGGGGATTTAGGTTTAATGCAGTTAAGAACAACATTTGCCAAAATCAAATTCTGTTCATTTTTCCAAGTTGCTTTTTAATTCTCACACACAATCGAATACGTTTCTACTATGTCTTCTATTTCTGTGTCAGCATTTCTGACGAGGTATTTAAAAATTCTAGAAAATGTGTCTGCTTGGAAAGCCCCCCCAGTGTCCCTGTGTGCTTCTATATACTGAGAAACGGGCCAGTTTGAGACCTGTTTACTTCTTAGTTGCTCAAAACTGAGATAACAAAATATTTCTTATTTCTTTGTATTTGGTTAAACATTCTTGAACCTTACTCTCCAATTTTGCTTCTACAATTTCCTTTTATCTGGTCTGTGGTTTGAAAAATACAAGGTAGTCTTCCAAAAAGTCAAATGCCCTTTTCAACCTTGATTACAAAATACGTAAAAAGCTGAAATAATGTTCAACAACCTTGAACATTTCACTGTCTGTGTTGGGGTTTTCTACATAGAATCATAAAATCATAGAATCAGCTGGGTTGGAAGGGACCTCTGAGATCATCAAGTCCAACCCTTGATCCAACCCCGCTGTGGTTACTAGACCATGGCACTAAGTGCCACATCCAGTCTTGTCTTAAAAACCTCCAGGGACAGAGAATCCACCACTCCCTGGGCAGCCCATCCCAATGTCTGATTACCCTCTCTGGAAAGAAATTCTTTCTAATATCTAACCTAAACCTCCCCTGGCGCAGCTTAAGACCATGCCCTCTTGTCTTGCCGATAGTTGTGTGGGAAAAGAGACCAATATTCAAAACACTTTTTTCCTGACAGATACTTTGTAATATTTTTTCTACGCTGTTAAGTCTTTTTTTTGCTGAAAATAGGAACGTGCCAAAGGACATCAATAACATAAAGACCAGTTTCTATTTCTCCCAGATAACCAGCAGTTTTGTATATTTGAAACTTTCTTTTAAGGTTTTGGTGCTGCAAATCTTGTTCATTGACTGCATTTTCTGCTTGCCTCTGAGATTCTTGGAAAGCCTGTGAAGCACTCTTAGCAAGCTCTAGCAAGTGTTCCAGTTTCCCAGCTGTCTGAGCTGCACTCTTTGCGATCTACCCCGTCTCTTAGCTGACTTTTAAAGACTTGACCTTGTGTATCTGATATGTATGAATTGTGTGGTGCTCTTTTTTTAGCTGTTTCAGCCCAGTTTAATGCAGAGTCATATTTCCTTTCTTTAACGTAGAATCTTGCTAAGGCCTGACAAATGTAACCATTTTGCTCAAATCTAAAGGATGCTTGTTCTAGCACATATTCCACATCACCACTCTTTTCTTCCTTATGAATGGCTTCAATTAAGGGGGAAAACGATGTGTCTGACTCATGTTCCTTGCGCTGCCTAGTAAGCAGCAGGGTTTGTATATCACAAATAAGTTTGTCTGGCTTTAATGAAGTCTTATAAAATGAATCTTCTTTCAATAACTTTAATGTAATTGCACTTTTAATCAAGCCATAGGTTAGTTTCAATTCCGTTAGGCAGTGAGATGCTATCAATGGATGAATGATACAAAGACTTTGTATCTCGTGTTCATGTACCTGATCAGATACTAGAATATTGGAACAAATTCCCATCTTTTCTATTAATTTATCTTTACTGAAGCCTATGTCTTGAGAATTTTTTCCTAAGAATTCTTCACATAGTGATATTGAAATTGTAGATTTTTTTGCATATGAGTTTAACAGTGTTAGATAGCAAACAAGCTGTGCTGGTTTAGAGGCAGTATCCAAGATATGCAAGATATTTTTTACCACTTTTTCTATGTACTGTGGATCAAATTTTTTCTTCATAATCATAAATGAATAGAAACTGTCAGGATTTGAATATCTTTTCAATATCTTTTCAATATCTTCTGATCAAAGGCCCTTTGCTCTTTCTCAGAAAGCACATATTTTATAGAAACACTGTTCAAGGAATTGATTGTCGAACTTTTGTCAGGCTTCTGAGATCTCACACAGTTTAGAATGATCACTACACGTTTTCCATACCAAAGGTATTTTTCTATTATAGCTGTCTGAATTTTTTTCTGCAGAACATCGACATTTTCTTGCTCTTCAAAATCATCCACAAGAAGTAATACTGGTAAATAGCCTGTGTCATCATTTGTTCCAAAGGTGAGTAAAGTTGTCACCTGTGTTCCAATTGGTTTGTTTTTCAGAACAGGACATTCGAATTGCTTCCGGAAATTCCAAAGGATATGCATAGATAATGTTGTACCACCACATCCTGGGTGGTGGTAAAGGTTGATAATTTTTACAGGTGGTTCATTAACACTGTTAGATGAAGACACAATTAGGCCCTCAAGCTTTTCATAACCGTCCCTTCTGATAAATTCTGAAGCATAGTTTTCAGAAGAAAAGCAGAAATTCCACCATGATACTTTACCACCTTGATGAAACTCTTCTTCCCACTCTTTCAGGAAATTTTGAAATTTATCTTCATCGTTCTGTATTCCTGTGCCTTTGCATTCATTTTCACAAGGTATTTCTAGTGCTGCCATGGAGCTTTCTTCTTTGGGAGAAGAACAGCAGAATGACAACAGAGGGCAGATGTCTTTCAGAAGACCGTGTATGTGATGCTAGTTTTGTGATGGTACCATTTACCATTTCCAGCGTTACATTAGAAACACATTCCTTTGAGAGTGCTTCCTCACTGACACCTCTAGCATGCAGAAGATCTTTCCATCTCTGGTATGTACCTGCACCGATGCAAATGCAGACCATGCCTTCTAGTCCCTTTAATTCTTGGTAAAATGTCATAAAAGTTTCAGTAAGGGGATCTGCTGAATCTTCCACTGTGGAAAGCAAAAGAAACACTATTAAAAACTTTCCATTTTGCTTTACATCTTTGTGTGAAAGAAAGGAAATAATTTTTCTGATGTCAGCAGCTCTTTCTTGTTGCCATGAAGTGGAATCCAATGGTAGTTCCTGGTTGCCTTTGAAGTCTGATCCACCATTATGGAATGGGTTAGGAACTGGCTAGATGGCCAGGCTCAGAGAGTGGTGGTGAATGGTGCTGCATGTAGTTGGCAGCCAGTCACTAGTGGTGTCCCCCAGGGATCAGTGTTGGGCCCAGTTTTATTTAATATCTTTATTGTTGATCTGGATGAGGGGATCGAGTATACCATGAGCAAATTTGCAGATGACAACACACCTCCAGCAGTGTTGATCTGCTGGAGGGCAGGAGAGCTCTGAAGAGGGACCTGGACAGACTGGAGAGTTGGGCCGATTCCAACGGGATGAGGTTCAACAAGACCGAGTGCCGGGTCCTGCACTTTGGCCACAACAACCCCCTGCAGCGCTACAGCCTGGGGACAGAGTGGCTGGAGAACAGCCAGGCAGAAAGGGACCTGGGAGTCTGGATGGACAGGGAGCTGAACGTGAGCCAGCAGTGTGCCCAGGTGGCCAAGAAGGCCAATGGCATCCTGGCCTGGATCAGGAACAGTGTGGCCAGCAGGACCAGGGAAGTGATTCTTCCCCTGTACTCGACAGTGGTGAGGTCACACCTCGAGTACTGTGTCCAGTTCTGGGCCCCTCAGTTGAGGAAGGATATTGAGGTGCTGGAGCAGGTCCAGAGAAGAGCAACGAGGCTGGTGAAGGGACTTGAGCACAAATCCTATGAGGAGAGGCTGAGGGAGCTGGGGTTGTTTAGCCTGGAGAAGAGGACGCTCAGGGGAGACCTCATCACTCTCTACAACTCCCTGAAAGGAGGTTGTAGCCAGGTGGGGATTGGTCTCTTCTCCCTGGAAACCAGCAATAGGACAAGAGGACACAGTCTTAAGCTGCACCACTGGAGGTTTAGGTTGGACATTAGGAAAAAGTTCTTCACAGAAAGGGTGACTGAGAATTGGAATTGGCTGCTCAGGGAGATAGATGGTGGATTCACCGTCTCTGGAGGTGTTTAAGAAAAGACTGGACGTGGCACTTGGTGCCATTGTCTATTTGACAAGGTGGTGTTAGGTCATAGGTTGGACTTGATTATCTCAGAGGTCTTTTACCACCTAATTGATTCTGTGATTCTGTGATTTTATTGTATGGGCTGATGTGACAACCATTCCTTCCCCAAAACTGGCTCTTAACCTAACATTCCCTAGCTTCTGATCTCAGTAGGGTTTGAAGCAGTATCATCCTTCCTCCAGTTCGGGCCTCTTCTCTTGCACTGATTGTGTGGTGAGCTGGTCCAAGGAACTGCAGCACACTGTTATACATCAGCTTAGTCTATGGACAGGTCAGATCCAGTCAGTTTTCTATGAGGTTGCTTGAGCTCTTTATTAGCGTGGGCCAGATCATGCCAGTGGAATGAGTGGAAGGTGTTGTAAAACCACATACTTGTATGGACATGTGCATTTGCAGGCTTCCAAAATCTACAGCCGAAATTGTTATGCATATTCTTTTGTGTTATGCAATGTTACAAAATTATACTTCACAACCCTTATTTTTTGTGTTGGAAGTTCTAAGTAGATTATATGCATGATTGATGAAGCTGGAACAAATACATTTATTGAGTAGTCTTTTCCTTTCCCAGTTTCCTAAAGAGGCATCATTGACAAATGGCACTCTGTTTTCCCTTCTCATGCTGGCAGTCAGATGGGGATGCATGCTGAAGCTCAGTAGTATTTTTGTGAAGTTACATGCTGCTATGACTGCAAGTTGTGCAAACTTAGCTGAATTAGCTAGTGTGAGTACTGGTAGCAGTGCAGACAGACAGCAAGGACGCCCGAGGGGCTGAAACCCAAATTATGTTACTTACACTCCCCCTGAGCTCTGTGGCCAGTGCTGAATACCTGTGTCTGAGAAACTTAGGGAGTCAGAGAACTGTAAAAAGCTGGACTACCAGGTGTCTCGACAGAAGGAACCTGCAGACCTCTCAGAGGACCCAAGTGGGTCTTTCCTTTTCCTTGTCTTATTAGAGATGGACAAGAAGTGATCACAGCCCCTTTTGTTAGAAGAAATTTTCTACACACTAGAGGACTTACTTCATCTTTCTTTGTATCTTTTCCCACCAAGATAAAATGGTTTTTTAGGCTTGTTCTAAACTTTTTCTCATTTACGTTGCTTCTCTACGGCTTTCCTCATTTGTCTGTATTTTCAGACAGACTTGAAAGGAATTTCAAATAGAATCCAGTTTTCTCATTGTCCTAATCTGCTGTTTAGAATAGTGATCCAGAATATTTGAATGTATTTGGAATTTTCTGTACTTTTAAATATAACTTGTGGATGGGACTAAGCACGACAGACTCAAAGGACTTCAAAAGCGCTTGAAAGCCAGGTTTTGAATTTAATATGATTTGATTAATCAGCATACAAAAATTTAGCAAGATGAAGTTAAAGAGGAAAGTGTAGCTCTAAGGAAAACATATGAAAGATGTCCAACACAATTTAGTTCTCTCCCAGGTAAGCTTTTGTCTTGACTTAGCAAAACATCC